TAGTTGTTCGCAAAACAACTCAGCATTGATAGCAGAACTGGGGGCTGTTCCACGACGGGGGAGGGGCATTTTCCACTTTCGTTGCTTCACTAGTTGTTTACAAGTCTCACTGTGGTGAAACCTGTGAACTCTTGTGAAGCTGGAGCAAGCTCGTCAAGCCATCATGGTAAAACCTGTCAACTCGAGAAGAGGCTGTCTAGATGGGTCGACACGTCGATGGGAAGTAGTAAAAGTGCAAAATGCCCCCTCCCATCGCCGAACCGTATAGCAGCAGCGCCCAATAGACTATTTTTTAACATTCCACCAGCACACAGAATGATTGGAATCCGGACGAGGAGACCCTACTCTCTCGGCTAGAGCCATTGTCGTTCGCTGACGTGAAGGATCACTCTCCGTCTCCTGTTACCACATAATCCAACGCACTGTGATCAATAATGAGAAGTCAGGAGGGTGCCACAGATGTCAAACCTCACTCGCACAGTGTGAGGGGTCAGATTGTTTGGTAGAGAGGGCATTACCTGTAGCTGGGGAAAATTGCCGCAAAATTAGACCCTACCACCAAATTCCCTCCTCTAGTACGCCCCCTCGTCCTCCACCTTTCCCATCCTGTCTACATCTTCCTTGATTCTCTCACTTCCGTACCACTTCTTCCATCCTCCGGAAATTTCCCAGTTTCCTCGGAATTTTGAACGCGAATGGAGCGGGTGGGTTGAAGCGGGGGGGGGGGGGAAGAGAAGGTCAAGTAGGTCCTCTCTCCCCGATGACCAAATGCGAGCTCCGCTGAGGATTCCTTAGTATACGACGCGCCCTGGACGTAGAGGTGCGACACTACCAAAAGTAGTGATTCAGAGGGTTGACAGTGATAAAATATGACCCAGTTATAGTTATCACAGACTGATAACTTCTAGCACTGGGTTAATGGGTCAACTAAACAACTTCTCAGAGTTCAATCTCCGAAGTATCCCTTGAATTTTTGGCCAACCCAGCGACCTCAGGTCGGCAGCGTCAGAGTTATACTGTTTATGATAGTCGTGCGCAGGTGTCCACCCTCTGCCCTCCCCGGTCGGCAGTTTTTAAATGCTCTTTGATAAGGGTATTGATTGTGAAGGTGTAGGAGAGAGTCGTATTATGGTCGTAGATGATGTGCTTCTGATTCATATTACTATAAGATTTGCCATCATAAACTCGAAGGAAAGCAGTATATGATGCGTATCTATCTATAAACCTGTTCTAATTGACCTTCAACACATGACAGTGACACTGAAGGCTAAAATGGACGCTGCTTTGGCGCCCAAATGGGCGTCCTAGGTCGTCGATCAGGTCATCCAAGGGGGAGAGGTTATTCATTGTGACACACCTGGCTGTGGCCGCTTGCTTTACTTGTCTTCTTGTTTTCGTATTTTCAAAGGAAAATGGCCTCCTGTATACGGTACGTTTCTTTCTACTCGTTAATAGAACTGTATAATTTTGAAGCCTATATCCCAAATTTGGTCTCAATCTCGTTTCAGTTGGAAATCTTCCTTACCAAGCTACTGAGCAGACTCTCGGAGACCACTTTAGCCAAGCCGGTCAGGTCACCAATGTTAAGTAAGTCCAATCAATATCTCGTATTTCTTTGTAAAATTCGGATACGGGGGTACTTTGTCAAGTCCTGTAAACGTTCTGAGCCACTTTTTGGAGACCTGTGATGTATTGTAAAGCTACGAAATGGTAATTCGTTTCTATGCACTTCGGTCTTTGCTTTTTTCTATCTAGCAGAGGAGGATAAGGAGAAGAGGAAAAACCTTCATGAACTGAGGAGTGAGCCAGGGAGATGGGGAAATTCGGCCTCAGTGTACAGCAAAGGAGTCCAGACTTGGGGACCCCTGACCCACTATAAAAATGGTACTTTTCACAGTGACAGCCTTTTCTTTCTATTTTCCCGGGAATTCACAAAATGCCCCTTCGTAGCCAAACGACGCCTATACTGATTTACTTACTTTCAGGATCGTGTACGATCGTGAAACTGGTCGCAGCAAAGGCTTCGGATTCTGCGATTTCGCCGATCAGGCAGGAGCCTCGAATGCTGTGAACACCCTCAATGGATCAGATTTCAATGGCCGCTCAATTCGTGTGAATTTCGCCAACAAGAACTGATCTCATCACCCTGTCTTTGTACAAAAATAATTTGTACATGAAATAAATCAGGGTCAACCTTGTTTGAGCTTGTTTTCTGGCCTGATGTATGCTTTTAACCTAATCGGACCACCGTTCTGTAAGGGTCTCCGCATCAGTTTGTTACATCGATAATCAGTAATTCCATTTTTTACCATGTGGGTATTCCGTTTCCAAAGACGGACAGGCGTTCTGATAATTGGAACAAGAAATAGATGCCGAGTAGACCATAAGAAGTACCACAGAGGAAAAAAATGCATGACATACCATGAGTGTCATACGACTCGGAACGTATTAATTATGTGTTCGATCTGAGCTTTTAACTATGTACCCTGTCACTCTTGTCATTTATATGAGCCGGAGGGTGGAGGTCAGAAAGTGAGTGAGCGACTTAGTAATGCCAAAAGATGTTTCTCGTCTGACCACCCCTCCCTTACCTCATTGATTACATGCGCATGATGAGGACGCTCCAGCGAATGACCCTAGCAAAGGGTTGTAGAAGGGCCACAGCTCCAGCGGGTCTAGTTGTAAACAGGGTACAGCATCGTTATTTAAGGTATGATGCTTTAAGCACTACTCCCCGGTTTTCTCCTCTGGAACCATTCTATCTTACCTAAATAGGGAGAAACCTTGGGAGAAATGGGGTCATCAGGAGGGTCCTCACTCAACTTTTTTCATCCAGTGAGATCATTCCCTTTCCTACTTACCTAAATTTTCCCAACTTTTATTTTTCCAGCCAACTACCCCCCCCCCACCCCTGTACCTCCCGAACTATCACCACTGTGACACACCATGATGGGATTCTTCTAACAATGCTGTACCATGATTGTAGGTCACGACGTTTTTTCTCGCAAGCACTCTCCCAGGTGAGACCTTCTTATATGGTCTAGACAGTCATAGAACATGCCATCCTCTTTCCCGAACAGCATGACGCGACTTTTTGGCGGGGTAAGAAGCCGGGCTGCCTAGCTAGGAGGTGATAAAGTTCCCACTGAGAAGTCATAATCCCTTCAAACAATAGGGCGTATGGAGATGTTCCGATTAAGGCGCAGCCAGGGCGGCCTAGTTCTAACTATGATGCCATTCTGAGCCCTTTACAACTGGTGAGAAAGCTCCCTTGGCAGCATTCCAAGTCACGCACCTGTCACACGCCGTATCGATTGCAGGGGTCGCGACTGTACACTATACTGCCGCTCCTGCATTCTGGTATGTGACGGCACAATCGTAGCGCTGGTGGATGCTAGCATTTTTGCCGAATTTATCGGTAACTGGATAGCTCCTTGGCCGTCTTGAGGATGAAGTCTATCACAGGTAGTACGTGCAGAACAGAGCCTTCGCTTGTTTTCTCTGCCCTTCTTATTCCCCTCGTCTCTGATTATGAGACTCTGAAGAATGAATGTATTGCTATGTGTCGATTTGATTTTACAATACCATTCATCCCCTGTAATTCTTGCCACTGCAACGACGACTTCCCCTCCCACGTCGTCAAATACGACCCCTCCCTGTCGAGATGCCGCAACAGGTCTTAGCGAATATAGAATTTCCCTGATAGATTCATTGTTAAGGATAAAAGGATAAAGTCGCCGTTGATCAATCCCTTTGTGGGATGCGGCACGCATTCTACTTCCATTCAGAATCGTAGTGGCTTATTGAATGCGATGTGGCCTATACAATGACTTGCGGTGGCCAGCCGATGTACAAGTCTTGGTTGGCCTGGGCGGGTGTCGACCCGCGATTCGAACCCGGCGCCGCGCGAGTGGTAAGCGCGCCACTTGTCTCTACACCACCTCCGCCGATTCATTGTTAGTAATCTAAAATTGCTATAATGGAGATCAGAGCCAGGCACTACATCTGAGAAATCCCCCCCCCCCCCCCCCCCCAATAAGATCACCTTGTCGTCTTCCACAGATACGGCTACTCAAGACCCTGAGGAGGAACAGCATCGATCTTCCGTTAGAAGTGATAAAATCGCCGCGTCGCAGACTGAGGAGAAGGAGAAACAGTTAAAGACAGCGCCCGCGATGGACTTTGGCAGGTCTCAGGGGTCAAATTTGTTAGAACAGGTGGCCAATGAAGCACTAATCAAAAAAAGTAGGAAAAAGGTGTGGAAGAGCGTGAAATAAGACCCTACGAAATTTAAGGCATGTGGACGAGTTTCGCAGACCTTTGGTGAGTTCTCCAATACACGTCGCCGCCTCGGAACTCCAGAAACTTAGCGTTTATCAATGCCAGCAAGCACTGATAACTGTTAACCAGTCGGGGCGGGATTAACAGGGAAGGAGGCGTCAGCTCAGCCTTGTTGACTCCGCCCTCGTCAACCAATCGATTTCGAGCCGCAAGAGTGGGATTTCCGCTGTGGTTGCGTACTCCGCGTTCGTTTTCATTGGAGGGTTTTTTCACTTTGGTTGATCGCGGACGCTGCCTTTAAAATGAAAATTTTTATAAGACTGAGATGTACGCCCACTTCTCCTTGAGCGACTAAATATAAGCTTGACCCTGACAACATGGAACGCTTCGATGACTCGGGAGGCCGCTCATTGATAATGTGAGAGTCAAGTGCGTTAGCCCGAACAGGCCAAAAAGTGGCGCAATTCGGTTGAGAGCCCTTTTTGCACATTCGCTGCTTCCCATTGTCGTGTTCATTGCATTTCCAGAATGACGAGTATTCCTCACAAGATTTGACCAGCGGTTTTCACGAGATTCAAAGGGTATTTCCTCACGGCTTCACAAGATTCCACGAATCTCTACTTACAGGACAATGGGAAGTAGGGGAAGCGCAAAATGCCCCTCTCCATTCCCCTTGCCAAACTGCATCCAAAAAGTAATCCGACAAGGAGTTCATGTAGCATAATTTATTAGAGATCATGTATTAAAATCGACCCAGCAAGAAAAATAACCGTATTCAATATTGCCGACGTAGTAAAAGAACAAGTATGTTGACATTAAAGCTACAACCATTCGAACAATTAAGGAGCAAAAGTAGTTGGGGGAGGGGTGGTAGGATGGAGAGGAAAGATGCCACGCCATGTAGGCTTTTCGCGTCCACTTACTGAGGAGGGAATTGGCGTAGATATCCCTCCCGATGCTTCGAGAAGGCGTGAAAAGGCAGGCAAGACACAACAGGTACCCCCCCCCCCTCCCAACTACCTCTGCCCCTGAGTCAGCAGCTGCCGTGGCATGTGCTAGTAACAATTTCCTTGGTCTCCCTTGTTTTCTGCTGCAAGACCTGTATGAAAAAGCCAGAGACAGAAGCAGGTGCTCTCGTTCTGAGATGGTGTAGAAATCAGTGAAAGCTCTGAATGGGGGGGCTATTACAAATATGTGTTGGCCCTATCACTCTGTCTGGTCCTGTTAAGCTTTTCCTGAACTGCCCGTAGATTCCATTTGATCGATTGCGTCTCTGAAGTCTATCAAGCAAAGCCTGGATATAGGAGTTCTCAGCCAAGTCATATCGTGCCCAGCGCTGATACAGGACTCCTGAAACGAAGTTAGCTACGAATGAAGCGTTAATAAAACATAATTACGCTGAAAGCTCTGTAAAAATGGGAACTCAGATAGGCAAGAGGCTGTAATAAGCAAAGAAATGTTAAAAATGGCTCAATAGTAGCATGGGGCCGCAGTCATCTGTACGAACTTTAACGTCGGTTGATTACAATCCATTAGGATGGCTGCGTTTATACTTTGCGGCAGCGTCCACCACCGTCTACCAGCATCCAGGAGTAGAGAGTATGGGGAGTAGGAAGGAGCAGACAGCTGGATTAGGAGTCGTGAAGTTGCGGTGTATATATCCGCACTGTACATTGCTAAAGCACAGAATTATGCAATTTATTATTACTAGTACGGTGCGGTTGCACACGCCGCAATTCCAGGACGCTTAATCTAGCTGTATACTTCCTCCTAGTTACCCATACTCTCTAATCCTGGACGCTGGTAGACGCTGGGGTTCGCTAGATCAATATCTATACTTTCCTAGTTGCTGGCGTTGAAGGGCACTTGAAACGCTGGCAGTCGCTGATAGACGCTGCCGCAAAGTATGAACGCGGCCAATGGTGACATGACTCATGACATTTAATGACGCGTCAGTGACAAAAAGATCGCCCCGCACGCTATTTTTTCTATTCCGTATATGTTACGAAAATGCGGATTATTGTAACCTTTACCTAGGTTCGCATGATACATGGCATTCTGCGGACTGAGCTCAATGGCGATTTTCAGGTGACGTTCAGCTTCAGCAAATCGAGCGATTTTCCCCAGACATACTCCAATCTGGAAAGCGAGTGCAGCCGACTGGTCCACGACCGTGTTCGGAATCCTTTCAGCCATGGTCACCACGGCATCACATTCCTCACGCTCGTCCAACGCCACAAAAATGTTAGTCAATGCTTTGCTGTGATGAGGATCGAGCCTGAAAAGGCAACTTTTCTGGTCAGAACAGAACCAATTATTTGGTGGGATCAACAACCGTCTTTAGAATAATCGCGTTCATCCCTGCCCGGATGGATTCTT